AGGGGTGGTGTTCGGTCCGAGGTGAGTATCGGAGCGGACGGAGATAGGGGAGGAGAGGGAAGGAGGAGTAGAGGTGGTATGGGAGGTAAAAGGAGGTGTGTTGCCAGGACCGAAGGTGAATATCGGAACAGGCAGCGGTAGGGTAAGACTCCAGAGGTCGGGAAGGAGGAGGTCCGGGAGTCGGGTCGGGATCGGGTATGCACGGATATGACAGCAGCCATCCGGGTGTCCCTGTGGGGGATCCCGAAGGTATCCGGTGCAGGCATGCGTGCTAGGCACAGCGGGGAGCCGTCCGGGGAGTCTGGGTCAGGCGGGTCAATGGTACATTGATGCAAAGGAAGTGGTCCGTGTAAATAGAAGGAATAAACAGGAGGGGAATGATGGGAAGAATGAAATAAAGAAAAGGGAAAAGAGAGAGAAGAAAGAAAGAAAGAAAGAAAGAGGGAGGAGGGAAGGAGGGAGGGAAAGAATGGGGAGTGGGGTAGCAGGTGAGGTGTGGCCAGGTGGACCCAGGTGGGCTTGGGTCAGGCGGGTGTGCCCTGACAATTACCACTGGTTGTGATTTTCAAGGGACAGTATTTTCTGGAAAAGTGGTGTCAAAATAATCCAATCAATGCAGCGTACACAAATTTATACACTCTATGTTGCAGCAGTCAACTTACTGATTGCCGGAAAGTATTTGTAAATCAGCTAAGGGTTGGACAAATGGTCAGATCGGCATTGACTGGATCAAGCTCTTTGACAAACAAACTCACCACAAACTGACTGATGAAAATGACTACCGGCTTCTCATCCTTGATGGTCACAATTCCCACTACACCATGGGCCTCATTGACTACGCAATCAAGAAAAAAATTATTATTATCTGCTGCCCTGCACACACCACTCATGTCCTACAGGGACTCGATGGGGTTGTTTTTTCAGTCCTGAAGCGTGCATGGACTAAACATCTCCAGCACTGGAGAGACACTCACCATGGGAGGGTCGGGAAGCAGAATTTCCTTGAAATTTATGGTGCCACGCATGAGGAAGCATTCACTCACACTAATATCCAGGCATCATTTGCTGCAACAGGAATGGAACCATTCAACCCAGATGTCATATCCACAGAGCAGATGAAGCCCAGTATGGAATTTTCGACACATGGGTCATTCCCAATGACATTAACAACACCTGTGAAACGTGTTGCAGCAATCATGCGTGAAGCTGCAGCGAGCAGTAACACAACTCACCCTGTACTCACATCCACCAACCCAAATACCACTCCCATTGCCACTAGGACCCCCACTTCAGATCACCCTGACAGTGTAGACTTGAGCTCAGGGTTAAGCTTTGCAGCCCACATGCACAAGAGTCTGGAGTCATCTTCAGGCCGGTTTCTCATCAGCAACACTCCAATTCATTCCACAGATAAACCGGTACCTGTAATCTACCAAACTCCACCTTGGCCTGCCACTTCACACATCAGGCTCACAACACCCGCAGCATGTCGCATGCTGGACCCATGGGCACTTCTTGAAGAGGTTCACTGCCTGTGCAATGATCTATTTGATGCTCAGGAAAACAGTGCCGAGCTTGCTGAAAAGCTGGTTGTTGCTTATACTCAGCTGGTCCTAGGCTCACAGTACAATGAGCGCTTGCGTCGTCAGCTAGCAAACAAGGAGAAGAAGAAGAAAAAAGAGACGAACCATAAGTTAGTTATGGATGGTCTACCTCATATCCTCACAGACCCGCAGTTCCGAGAGCTTGTTGCACAGAATGAGGCAAACCACCTTGCAGTGCAACAGACAAAAAGAGCGTGCAAACAGGCATGCAGATTGGGTACAGTCCGGAAGAAGGCTGAAGAGAGGGCTTGGAAGCAGGCCAAGGAGACCCATCAAAAGGCTGTAACAGAGTGGGAAGCAGAAACACAGAAACTGAAGGCCATGAAAGTCGCAAAGTCAAAATGGCCACCAAAACCAAAGTGTCCACAGAAGAAAGTGGTGATGGCAACCATAAAACTATCAGAAGCCATAGAGGACTTTGCCAAGGGTGAAGAGGAGTCATTTGACTTGGGTTTGGATGCATCAGACAGCGAAGATGAAGGAGAAATCAATGAGTGACAGGTGATGTGGCAATTTTCCCATGGCCGTGCATTTGGAGGGATACCCCGAAAAATGGGTCATTCTTGTGCATCCTCACTACATCTCACAACCTTCATATTTTTTGTTCAAATTTTGCAATGTTGTAAAGAATAAGCACCTCTGTTAAATAAAAGCATTCATCAAAGAATTTGTACTTGAAAATTTTTTTGCACAGCAGAAAGACAAAAACTGTGCATTTCGGAGGCAAATTACTGTACCTCTCACAACTACAGCCCGCATGCGAACCCGTGGGAAAAATCACGTGGGTCAAGGCAAGCAACTCGCCTTAACCCATGTGACACCTTTTCTGCATTGTGGGAACATGCTCAGCTTCTACCCATAGTCACGTTATGAACTGTACAGTACATTTCCCTTTTATAGCAGCCAAGCAGGGAATAGGGAAACTTACCCTTCTTCTCAACTCAATCCCTGCTTAGTGAGTTTGAGGAGCTTGGGATAGGATCCAGCACCTGGCTGCCTGGGACACCGCAAGTGTCCAGCTCTGAGGTAGGGCCGGCCCCGGACAGAGGCCGGGCCCTGACAAACACCCAGCGCTCTTGATGCATGTGAAGTAATATATAAGCAGTTAAACCCAGCACAAGCTTGGGTGCCGACTTCATAGCATAGTAACTGGGCAGTTTACATGTTTTGGAACCTCCCCAGACTTGTTTTCTCAGACTTCGGTAAATGCCTAAGCATGTTGCCACCCAGAATGGATCGGACTTGGGTTTATCCCCATGTAACATGTGACTTTTGTATTGAAAGCAGAGCGTGACTTCTACATTTGTAATACAAAATTTGAATCCGGACCTGAGTATGTTGATCAAGTCAGACAAGTCAGACATATAATTCATGAGCCCATGACAAGTATATTATTTTTCGGTGGCTCATTCCATAAGCAGTGTTTGGGGCATTTCTTGGACAGAATGGACAAGCATCCCCAAATCAGACTTATATCCTGGGCACCTAGTTGTCAGGAGACATGCATGCTCACGCAGGTTGCTCCAATAACCTAGTCATGATTAAAGCTGGGGGAAAGGTATGTCCCCATCTTAGGGTCAGCTATATACATGTAGAGTCCGGCAATAAGGAAACCAAACAGATCACCAATAGAATCACATGATCATAGAATGTTCCAGAACAATGCCGGAGATGATCCAGGCCACTGGGGCTTAGGTAAGTGGAGTAGACGGGAATTGCCGGCATACTTCCCACACGCATATGTGCAGCCAGCATAGGGTCCAGGGTCATTGCTGATCCCTGACACTAGTACTTGTGACTCAGTCAATATAAAGAGGTGTCTGGGGTGTACCAGCCATCCTACTGTCTTAGATAGTAGATAAGCATCTGAGTAACTGCACTGGTGCACTGGTGCAATGGGCAAAAATAAATGAGGAATAAGTTTTTGCAGAGGGGCCCTTTGGGCCCCAGAAGCTCTGGGGTGCCCGTGACCAGTTTTTTCAATTACAATGCTTCACACAACACTTCATCAGCATTGCTACATCGAATGAATTGTCAGCATCGACTTCCAATGCTTCGTCATCACTGCTGTTGCCATCAACACTGCCAAAGTCGTTCTCTCCCATTTTTGCTCACTTTTTTCTTGTACTAGCCTGTTTTTTTCTCGCCTCTTCACTGCTGAAAAACTGTGGTATCATGTGTTGTTGTCATCTCCTTCATGGTTCAAGCTTAGAGTTCTTGTTCTGTTCTTTTGTAATCTTATTCTCAAACTTGCCACCACCAAGCAATACAATGACAACACAACTTTGGATTATTGAGTGGGTTGTTTACAGAGGTGAGTTGCCTTTTTTGTGCAGACTGAACTTGCTTCAAACAACTCTGCAATATGGAATGAATGTAATGGCACTGGGTTACTTGGTTGGGGACATGTGGTGGGGGAAAAACTTTATCCTGACTCACTTCCAAGCTGCGAGCCCACCGTGCCAGCAGATGTGGATTGTTTCTTTCATGGTTCAGAACTTTGCATGGCTTTATGTTTGCGACCTCAACTGATATCACTCAATCAGTCAGTAGCTTTGTGTAGAGCTTACATGGTGGTCACCGCTTGTCCGCTTTCTTCTGCTGGTGGTTGGGTTGGAATCTGGGTGGCATCACACTGGGAAGGCAATAGGGAGGTAGCTGGGGCTGTCGATCTAGAGTATGGTGAGTAACAGCCTATCCTTGATGGCATCTCTGGGGAAAAAATGAATATACCAACCCGGAACTGACATTCACAGATGACCTTAGGCCTTCCTCTCTGACCCTGCCATCTGTCACCCCGGAACTCGGCCTATGTATGGAAATTTGGTTTATTAGTGTGGGTCCTGTTAGAAACCACCGCTGCCTAATGCAGGCATTTAGTGTAATGGTAACACACTCTAGGTACTTATGCAGGGCTCTGTGGTTCGACTCCCAGAATGTCCATATTTTATGCATTAAAGGTTCCTGAGACCATGTGTACAAATTCCAACATGGTGGACATTCTACGGAAGTCACCAAGCACACCCAAATCCAGTTGCTGCCACATGAGATGGGCACGTGAAGTCAAGCATTAAATTAGCCGGCCTGACAAAGTTTCAGGGGGTGTAGCTCAGAGCACTAAGGACCCAAATCCGGCTGCTTCAGACCAAATGATGTGGACATGTAGGAGATTAGCAGTAAGTCCGGCCTGAATATGAATTCAGGGGGTGATGGCTCACAGGCTGTTGGAAGCCTGGTGGTTAGGGTCACATGTGGATCATGGGCTCAATCCAATGTGAAGGGGGTGTGTTAGAAACCACTGCTGCCTAATGCGGGCATTTAGTGTAATGGTAACACACTCTAGGTACTTATGCAGGGCTCTGCGGTTCAACTCCCAGAATGTCCATATTTCATGCATTAAAGGTTCCTGAGACCACATGTACAAATTCCAACAGGTCCTGCACTTTGGGATTCTCACATGGATGCTACTTCGGCGCCAGTAGAGGTAAGTGCAGCGAGCTCCTCATGCCTCTCTTCCACCTGTTCATCGGTTAATTTGACCCATTTGATCTTGCTATTCTTCCATCCATCAAGTACCTGGCGCAAGTGATCAATGTTAGCAAGCTTTGGTTTGATCAGTTTACCATCTGGGTAATTGGTCATGTCAATCACGACACAATGTTTGATAGTGAGTTTCAAATAGTTTTCTGGCACCCATTCCATCGATAATCATGGCTTCCCAGTCAATTCGTCTTCGTATTTGGTCAGTGCATGTTGGAATACTGGGATGATGTCACTCATGGAGACACTCTCTGGTTATCTCAGCCATTTCAGAGTGCATGTTCCTGGCTTTCGCTGTGTAGGCTTTCGCCACACCTTACACCCCATGTTGGTGAGTAGTCAAGAGACGGTTCAGCTACATACTGTCTAATGTGCTGATTGCATGTGCCTCCATGAGGCGAACTTGCGCTGCCATGTCCATTTTTGCCACAACTCCCCAGTAGTACTTCACCTTATCTGTTGCCCAGAAAGCTGGCGAGAATAAGTCTTTCAAGTGTCCTCAAGTCATCATAACAACCACTTCGACATTGCATGATTCATGAACTGATTTCACCTGTTGCTTTTTAGTACCAGAACCTTGCGCTCATTTTAGGCATTGATGTCACAACTGACAAATCCCGGGGCTCTGTCAGTGGTGAACCAATGCCGATAGGCGAATCCACCGACCCGAAACCCGATCCAACCAGCCCTCAATCTGATGTCTGGCCCCCTGCCCTATCAAGTGAGACTTTGCCAACAATCAGACCCTAGACCCTGCTGGCATTCCGACTTCACTTCCAGTTCCCGAGCCTTTGGGCTCCTGGCATCCAGTCCCTCTGGTTCCTCCTAGGCCTATAGCACAACTCAGTCTCACATCCCTGCCTCCGCATCCTCCACACATTTTGCATCTCCCATATTCCGTGCATCTTCCACATCCGGACCTCTGCCCACCTCTGCACCCTCTGCACCCCTGCCACTCCTGGTTGACCTCCACACCCTGCAGTCAGGTCAACACTCCCCTCCATACCTTTGCTGGCCATCATGCTGTCCTCATTTGTGACAGCACTGATGGACCACCCTCTGTTGCGGACTTATCAGTGCCGTGCTGATTCCTGCATCCCATTTCACAGACTTGTGTCAGTGCCATGTGCCGACCCCGCTTTTCCTTTGGCCTTTTGCCACTTGGCAGCATTCATTCATTCCTTGCCAAGTGCCTATTATGTTCACCCATTTCATTCGCTTGCCAATATTGGCACTTGATCCATGTGTTATTGCACTTTCCCATTCATTCATTTAATCTGTCAATATTGGTACTTGATCCACTTTGACCTTATTCATTCCTTGCCTCCCATTTCCCGGGTTCTCATCCTTGGTTTAGTTTGACAAGTCCCCACTCATTTCCGCTTATTTCCGCACTGGACCGACCGGTCCCTCTTTTGATTTCTCTTACCTACTTATACCTTGTAAATACTTTTGGGGACCTCAGTCTGAAATCAACTAGAGTACCCCCCCTATTCTGATCTGAGTCCCTCCTACTGCAAAGGGGGCTTCCCCCCCTCTGAGTCCGTGCTCCTCCTACAGGTCCACTCCGCTTGCAAGTCTTGTTTGAAGTCCGCTGTAAGTGTCAATCTGTAAATACGGGATCTCCCCCAAACGTCAAGCTCAGGGCACAGCACTCCACCTGAGTCGCTGAGGCCGCGATCCCACTCTGCTAACCTTGAACAGTGCTTCCGGATGCACCGCACATTTCCGCCCGCATATCCACACGTGTGCACTCCAACAGGTTTCCGCCACAATCTCTGACCCTGACTCAGACAGAAACCCAATTCCATCTTCAGTCCATCTTCACATTTCCGACTCTGACAATTGAACACATACTATGTTTATCAGTTAATCCCTGTCAGGGCACACCCACCTGACCCAGGTCCACCCAGGTCCACCCGGCCACACCTCACCTGCTGCCCCACTGCCCATCCTTCTCCTTCCTCCTTCCCTCCTCTTTCTTTCTTTCTTTCCTTTCTCTCTTTCTTCTCTTTTCTTTATTTCATTCTTCCCATCATTCCCTTCCTGCTTATTCCTTCTATTTACATGGACCACTTTCCCTTGCATCAATGTACTATTGACCTGTCTGGCCCAGACACCCCAGATGGATCCCCACTGTGCCCAGCACACATGCCTGCAGCAGATGCTCTTGGGATCCCCTGCAGGGACACCCAGGTGGCTGTGGCTGTCTCTGAGAATGACGTTGTAACAGGGAATTTATCCCAACATCACACAGGCTCACAGGGGGGACAGTAATCTCCTGCCTGCCTCTCTCAATCTCACCAAAGGTCCTTGTAGTACGGTGCTGTATAGTTGTGGCTGTGCAGTCACAGGACTACCCCAACTACACTCGCCAATGTATGTACATGAAAGAATGAAAGAGCACTGTTTTGTAGTGCAAGGGTTTATCCCTGCAACAACGTGGCACCGCATGTACATAAATGTACCTGAAGTGGGAACAGAAGAAGTAACCTTCTTCTCACCTTTTCCACTTCAGTATAAGTGGCCAGGGACTGCTGTCCTGCATCAGGCCCGCCAGCATGCACACCTGCTTCGCACCCTGAGAGGGTCCCTCTGCCAGGCGCTACATCCGGGCCCCCTCCACCCCAGATGCATCCCTGACAGTCCTGTGCATGTGTTGCAATGGAATTCATAGATAATTCAGGTGAGATTATCGTTCCTTTTAGTGCACAGTTTGTCCTTTTAGTCATAACTCCATCTAGGATGACTTGTGCATGGTACTCTTCTGTTGGGGTCCTAGGATTTCCTACATCCTCATATGTGATATTTTTTTTCATTGATTTCCCCAAGGAGCTCAAGGTACTCCTCCTTGTAGGGCAAGGCTGGCAATGTGCCCTCTAGATAGAGCGTTCGTAAGCATGTAGTCTGAGTTCACGTAAGTCAAACTTTACCTTTCAAACATCAGGCCTCAGCCTCAGCATGGGCCCATGCATTGCAGAGCATTGGCTTATGAGTCTTCTTTGGTTTCGATAGGTTATAGATTATCTGGCTGTGAATTTGATGCTTGGAATAGTGGTGTCCATGGCCTGAGAACTCTAGTGCAATAGCAGAGACATGGCTTTCAAAATCTGCCTTCAGCTGAATGACTTGGGCATTAAATGCCTGCTTCACTAGATCCCTCTCCCTCCACTTATCTGCTGGGACCATTCACTACATTGGTAAGTCCTATTAGTTGCCCTTGAAGTGAGCTTACCTTGTGCTGTTAGTAGCATTGAAATCTTCAAGCAACCTGCCAAACATGAACAGAACTGAACAACTGAACAAACAACAACAAATCAAGGGCCATTCAGTTTGATGGTTGGGTATGTGCCTGTTGAATTTAATAATAAATCTGAATGGAGCCTTTTTTTTTTTTTTGGCAAATTTATGGTTAATTTACATTTATGCAATCAACCTGTTGACGCCCCTCAGCTTGCTGCTGCCATCCATGTGAGTAGGTATGCCTCACCTGGCATACAATAAAAGCGTCTGACCAATGTGTTGTAGAAGCCGGCTTCATTAACTCTTTGGCTTGCCAAAAGAATGATGAGGCTTATGTCTGTTTCACTAAGCTCTCGATCATTATCAGGAAGTGTCAGGGCATGCCTTTGGGTCGCTAGCGTAAGTAGCACATTGCCACATGACCCATGATCCCATCAACTTCTGCTTCTTTTCCGCTTCTTCATCTCCGGTTTGATCTGGTCTGCAGCTGTTGGTTATGACACTGCATGATCTTCTATCTTCCTTGATCCGATACTACTGGTTATTAGTTAGTTGGCTAGTTAGCACCTCTACCATGTATATAAGACCATGTGCTGGCGTGGGCATGTCCCCCAGCTTTCCTATCAACTAGGTTTTGGGGACTTCTCTTGTTGTGAGCATGCATGACCCTGACAGGAAGTTCGTAAGGCTCAACAGCATGGCACGATGAACTAGGCATGCTAACTGATTGGGCTGTCAAGCGGTTTGAAGATGGTGCTACACTTGGAATATGTGAGTCCAAATTCATTCCTCCCTGCTGCAGGGCTTCCAGGTTTTGGCAAGTTAACGGTGATCATGTAGGGGTGACAGGGACTGGGAAATTGACCCAATGGTTGGCTACAGTGAAGAAGGACAGCTCAATGCCTGAGTAATCTGTGGCCACAGAAGACTCACTGCTGTGTGGCATATCAGCCTTGGATGCAAGTGAAAATCTAAAGAGGCTATCACTGACTGTGTGAGTGTCAATGGATCCATGCTCAACCTTCTCCCAATAGCTGGATGAAACAGTAGCTGAACTTTGCTTCTGTTTCTTGGGAGTTACATCAGCAAACTTGGATGCGGAGGCCTGAGAGCTCATAGAGCTCATAGAGCTCTCAGAGCTTCAATACTTTGAAATTGCAGGTCCCCTTCTCTGAGAGCTCTGAAAAGTAGTCAAAGCTCTGAGAGCTCATAGAGCTATATTTGCACACAGGGGACTATTATCTATATGAGCTCCCTGAGTGTTTAATTTACCCGATATTAAAATTTAAATTTAAAAGCATTGACTATGGCATCATGTGACTAGCCATAGCCAAGTCCCTACCATACAAGGGACTGAACAAACTCAGCTTCACTTTCAGCACCAATGCAGCACCAGACACCAAGGGTATGTAGCCCAATCAATATATAAGCCAAATTTAGGGATATAAATGCAGTTAATCTGAAATTACTTAGGGAAAATGCGGGAAAATGAGTGGGAAAATGAGTGGGGGGGGAATTGGGGGGATGAGGGAGAAAATGAGGGGAAAATTAAAGGGGGAAATGGGGGGAAAATGAGGGGGGAAATGAGGGGAAAATGGAGGGGGGAATGGGGTGACATTTGGAGGGGGAAATGAGGAGGGAATTGGGGGGAATGAGGGAGGAAATGGGGGAGGAAATGGGGGGAAATTGAGGGGGGAAGTGGGGGGAAAATGGAGGGGGGGAATGGGGTGAAATTTGGAGGGGGGAATGAGGGGGGAATGAGGGGGAAAATGAGGGAGGAAATGGAGGGGGGAAATGGGGGGGGAATGAGGGGAAATTTGAAGGGGGAAATTTGGAGGGGAGAATGGGGGGGAATGGGGGGAAAATTGAGGGGGGAATGAGGGGAAATTTGAAGGGGGGAATGGGGGAGAAATGGGGGGGAAATTGAGGTGGGAATTGGGGGGGAATGAGGGGGAATTTGAAGGGGGAAATTGGGAGGGGGGAATGGGGGGGAAATTGAGGGGGGGGATGAAGGGGAAAATGGGAGGAAAATGAGGGGGAACTGGGGGGTTTCTAAAAACTTGAAAAAAAGTCAGGGAAAATTAAGGAAAATTCAGAAAATGGGGGACTTTCTAAAAAAGGAGAATGTCCAAAAAATCAGGGGAAAAATCAGAAATTTTGGGATAAGTTAGGGAGAGATATTTCAGGAAATTAGGAATAATTGGAAAAAAAATTAATTCACTTTTTTGATAATTCAATGTGCATTGGAAAGTGCCAAAGTGGGGCAATGTAGCAATGTATGTTTCAGTGTTAGAAAAGTCTCCCACCATGTTTTGGTGAGTGTCAGGGCACAGCCCCTCACTATTCCACAATCCCGCATGCATGCAGACCCATGGGAAAGTTCTGGGCAAGTTACTCACCCAGAAACCATCACAGCCACAACTGTGGGAACTTTCTGGGTGAGCAGCTCGTTCCCATGGGGGGGGGGGGGTGCCATTTATGGAAAGTCAACAAAGAGCTGAAAACTGTATAGTTCCTGGCTCCCATTTGTAGAGGAGGTTGAGAAGGTTTAGCCCCCTCAGTGAGTTTGAGGATCTCGGACTGGGACTAGATGCCCCAGCGACTAGGAGGATCCCCTGTTAGATACTGATCCGGGGTCGGGCACCGAAGGTCGCCGATGCGGACCGCTAAGGGCCGCGATGGCCGCGATGCCTCAGACAAGGCCCGAGGGTAGGGCATTTGGCCTCAGCAACTCTAAAGGGAGTGCTGTGCCCCCTAGTTGTCTCTTGGCCCTCATTTCGAACTTACTGGGGCTGCCTTGTTGGGGTCAGGGCTTGGGGTCGTGGTCAAGTTGATATTAGAGCTAAGGTACTATAATGTAGTATACAGGATATATATATGAAGGTGGAATGAATAGAAGCGGACCCGGGCCGAAGGCCGAAGGGTCCGGAAGCAAATAGGAACAAAGAGCGGGGTTGGCCGCACCGCGGCCGGCAATGACCGAGGGTCAAAACAAACAATAACAGATAAATAAACGAAGGGGTGTAGGGCCGCGATAGCGGCGATGGTATCATAGCGGAGTAGGCGATGTCGCGGAGTCACGCTAGGTCGGTACCAGAGGCGGACCCAGGGCAGGGAGGTCGGTGTGGCTGTGAGGGAGTCGGCCAAGTGTAGGGGAGCCTAGGGGCAAGTGGGGGAGTGAGCAGGGAGCCCTCAGGGAGGATAGGGCTGAGGTCGGGGCTCGCGCTCACGCTCGCATAGCGGTAACGGGCTCGGGCGGCATCGGGACGGGCGGCTAACGGGCCGGAATGCACGGCCGTGACATCCCCCTGGGCCCGTCACAGAACAAGGGCTGGGCCCTGACAGTGAGCCAAATAACCATGGCTTTTTGACCATGGGAAATTTGGTGTCAAAGGCTTGGATGATATCTGAAGAATACATCAGCTTTTTGTTTGCTTTATTGGGTGGTATTTTCAATTTACTTCATTTGGAACACTTTGTTAAAACTGATTTATACCCTACATAACATGCATGGTTACATTGCCACACTTTGGTGCTTTCCAATTCACATAGAATCATCAAAATTGGTTGAGTTTTGAGCAAGAAATGAGATGAAAGATAAAGTGCAAATTTTTGAATTTCAGAGTTTTCCTCATATTTTGTAAATAGCAATAAACACAAAAGGTATATGAGCTCTATGAGCCCACTGAGTTCATAGAGTTCATAGAGCTCATAGAGCTTTCAGAGCAATGACAATGGCCATTTTACACACATATATATCCATATTATCTTTGCACTACTGGTGCCAAAATAACTAAGCAGATTTCATGGAGATATGAAGACCATCCATGATTTAAAAACAAAAAGCTCTATGAGCTCTATGAGCTCACTGAGCTCATAGAGCTCATAGAGTGTTTCAAGTAATGATGCTGGCCATTTAATGTGCATTTCCAAAAATGTATATACATATTATCTTTGCACTTCTGCATCCTTAGGAGAATAAAATCATTCAAACATTTAATTTTCTCCACCCAATGTGTAGAGGGTGCACAGCAAAAAGACTCAATTTGCTCACAGAGCTCCCTACCAAGTTTGCTGATGTAGGGGCATGGGTGGCACAGGCATAATGGTGTTTGGATCAGGTAGTTTGAAGGCAAGTGATGGTGTAAATGGGCATTCAAAACTGTCCTTGCCCTTGCTGACAATGGAATTGGTCATTGTAGAACAGGCTACTTTGGAACGGGTCAGTGTAGAGACTGTGTTTGCTGCTGCCTGTGTCGTACTTGTTTGTTCCGCAGAAGTGGAACTGTCTTGACCAGTTTCAGAGTGGGATATGGTCATCTGAACCACAGGTGCACTAACAGACTGAGGGATTTTCAAGAATGCATCTAGGAGTTCTAATCTCAACTGTGGCCATCCTTCCTGGCCTTCGATTTTTTTGAGGCAATGATGTTGATGGGTGCTTTTCGACCCTCATAATTGAATAGCGCAACACTGTGGTGCCCCAGACAGTCTAAGATGGAGGTCTCCCCTACAGTTCAGGTTTGTAGCTTATCACAAGATTAGAACTACTCACCAATGTGCAAATATCCCACATCAGAGTGTGCACTTCTAACAATGGAGCCAAGAGGCTGTCCTTTACCATATGTGCCATCTCTTGCATAAATGCCTCTCTTGGAATAATCCCCTCAATATTTTTCAGGTCCGGTTGCACTGTCTTGGGCGACTGTCCTGCATCGTTGTGAGTATATATGTTTATGAACAAAAAAATACTCACCGTTCACTTTGCATGCCATGGTATAGTCCAGGACATAGCTGTCACTCAGTTTTTTCTTGAAGAGTTCCACTTCTTTGTCATCCAAGGTGTATAGCTGATGGCTTGCTTGAATGTAGCTCTCAAACACACACTCGCAGCTAGCTGTGATGATTTTAAGTAGTTTAGCTCTTTAATGTGAGTGAATCATCTCTGAACTAACTACCCATGTGCTTACCATCCTCCTTATCCTCATTGTTCATTCGATACATGTTGAATGATAGTTGTTCTGTGGTTGTGCAACTAGTAATGTTGGATTGTTACGACCAGAACTGAATTGTCACTTAAAATCATGTGTCACGTTGTTGTGGGGACAACTCCGTGTACCGCAAAAAGTCGGATTCTGTGGAATTTGGTCACCAACATGCAGTACATATCCGCTGACGCTCATGATACTCATTCTATCACTATCCAACACTCCTTACACTCATTCCATATTTTTCCATATTTTCCCCATCATTCCCGACAACCCCAAGCAAAATTCCCACGCCCAACCACACTGCCAATTTCACCCCCTCTCCAGACCTCCATACCCACACTCACAACCCAGCCGTCTTTCCACCCGATAGTGATGCTCTACCACCCTTCTTCACCCCCGGAGCATTTCCCAGAATGGCAATCCCATACCCGGATGGTTCAGCATGGAGTATACTCTCACGTGGTCTTGACAGCACCTGTCAATGGCCACATCTCAAGAAGTACTGCACCAAATGGGACAAATAGGGGCTCGTTGGAAAGCTGGAGACGAGGAGGTTGCTGACGGGAGGATAGGCGGGCGCTGTGGCGAAGCGTTGCGGAGTTAACTTTTACATTTCCCATTTTGGACCCGTTATGATATATTCCCCATTCATTCATATTTCTTTTATTGTTTCTTTGTTCCCAATTGGATATTCATCATTTACGGTTGCCTAACGGCCTGTTTACATTCCCCCAGTCCATTCATTTCATTTCAAACATATATAAACTAGATAACAACTTGTACATAACAAGTTAGTATTGAATAGACCCGTGAAGGGACAAGCAGAAGTTGCATCCAAGTGGCAAAGACGCCATCCACGACCCTAACGCCCCCATTGAGCTAGTTGATAACGTCTAAGACCCCTCTTATCAGAATCCTCAGCCTTGACGTCCAAGAGAGACGTAGGTGAGTGTTTGTTTGAGGTTTTTGCAGACTCGGTAGCACCCACGGACCAAAACCCGGCCCAACGAACCACACCCACGCACACTACCACCCTCCCCCTTCTCTCTGTCTCGAGTCTAGGCGATAGACCCGTTACAACGTGTTGTATTGTAACCCAACCCAACTGACATGATGATTATCAACTCTTTGACTGAGCTCCCCCCCTTTCCCTGCCTCCTCTATAGGTGGTCCATGTCATATCTGTACATACCCGATCCCAATCTGACTCCCAGACCCTCATCTTCATCACCTCTGGAGTCCTACCCTACCTCTGTCTGCTCCGATATTCACCTTCGGACCGAACATCACTCCTCTTGCCACCTTCCTCCTCTTACTCCTCATGTCACCTCCACCCTTCCATCCCTCTCCTACCCTACCTCCATCCGCTCCGATACTCACCTTCAGACCTGACACCATTCCTCCTCCACTCCTCTCCCCACTCCTCTCATCACCCTCCTCCCTCCAACCCTCTTCCGCCAAACCTCTGCCAAGTTACAACCTTCCACTGCTGTCCCATAACTTGTACTCAGACACTGCCCATACCTTTGCTCTGAGATCCCATCTTAGTCCCAACCTCGGACTTTGACTCCACCTCAGCCTAAGTCCATTGCATTGGTGACCTCATTCTATGTAAACACCATTGCCAACATTCCTCAGACTTTCAACCCCACCTCTGCAACCTCTGAGCTCCACAGATCATACTCAGCACTTTTGCCGCTTGTAATGTATCTTTCGTGTTCCCCCTCATCCTTGTTTGGACTGCTGCTTCTCTCCATTCTAGCCAGTTAGTCATCATCCCCACTTCACCTCATCCTCCTGCCCCTCTGGGCTTCACCTGTTGGAGGAACCGTGTGCTATGGGAGGCTGGATGAGTTTGTTGTACAGCCACATTCCCACATCCAAGCGAGGAACTTGCCCAGACAGCCACATTCCTGTGGTAGCATGACTACTTGGTCACAACACCTTTTCTTCTTACTTACTTTGGTCACTTCAGACTTATCCACGAAGGCCACAAACTATATTCATTCAGTTGAATTAGTTTCCCTTTTTTCCCTCAGTTCTCATGCATTAGCTTGAGACTGAGGTTAGTTACAACATTCTTTTACTCTTATTTCTTATACATTGTAACTCATTGTATATTACCTTATAGCTTTAGCATTAGGTAATATTATAGTTCTCACGCATTAGCTTGAGACTGAGCTTTAGCATTAGCATTAGAGCAAGCAGTTATTCCGTTATCACCCTCCCTATCTCCTTTCAGATGTACCACAGGTTCTAACCTATGACCTTCGGTGCCAATCTGCTTCCATCATCCCTTTGTCCCGGTTTGGATGCCTTTGTTCCGATTCGGACCCCCTTCAATTTCCTTGTGCTTTCATCTCCCCATTATATACAGGCACTTGTACATACTCGTTTTGGACCTTCAGTCTAAAATTGACCAGAAATGCCCCCTAGAGACTTCCTGCTCACTGCTTCTGAAATTAGGGACCAGGTGGACAAACAGCAATGGCACAGCACTCCGCATGAGTCGCTTGTCAGGGGACGCGTGTGCTCATGCAGGATGCTCCGATAACCTAGTTGTGATTAAAGCCAGGGGAAAGGGATGTCCCTATCTTAGGGTCAGCTATATACATGTAGAGTCCAGCAATAAGGAAACCAAACAGATTCCCGATAGAATCACGTGATCATAGAATGTTCCAGAACAATGCCGGAGATGATCCGGGCCACCGGGGCTTAGGTAAGCGGAGTAGATGGGAATTACCAGCATACTTCCCATGCGCATATGTGCAGCCGGCATAGGGTCCAGGGTCGTTGCTGATCCCTGACATTGCTGAGGCCAAGGTCCCTCCTTGCTAAGTCTCCAGTTCCCCTCCAGAATCGTCTGCCCTTGCCCAGTTCTAACAGTCCATACACATCAATTGTTCCCTCAAACTTCAACCATCTCTGCATTCATATCTTGGTAAGCACTCTCCTTCAAATTATGTTGAACTCTCAAGAGTTTGCCCTGCAGGATCAGGATGGTGAGAAGGTGCAAGTGCACTATAATTTGGGCACGGACTCCTATCCCTTTCCTGGAGTGGTGCAGTGAAACTCAAAACGGCACAGTTAGCCATGGATGTGGCCCATGATGAATTGATGAAAAGTAAGCTTGAGACCACTGGACATCACCTTATCTCATCTTACAATCTTGTGGCTGGTAGTGACCTCACAAGCTGTTATCGATGGGCTCTCAGAGATCCAAGATGGAGGGCCTGTAGGAGAAATTGTTGACGAACCTGTGGGAGATCAACTAAATCTACTTGAGGATGTTGGGCTTAGTTATGTCAACTGATATCAACGATAGCCCCAAAGCCATGAGTTCTTCTCATCTTTAATTGACTCAGTGACCGTTCGAAACTATTCATTTGGGTGGAAGAAGGGCCATGAGTGGAGTACCCGGATGTCCAGGCTTCATGCACAATGGACTGAGCAACTCGACTCTCTCACAATGCTTTATCTGGCTATTAAGACAGCCAATCCAACCTGTGCACCGGTGCATTACCTAGAACCTCTGCCAGATAGCAACTACATCGAGATATGGTGTATCAACATCTTTGGTGAGTTATATTATATTGTATCTATTGTCCATCCTTATTTTTACCTTGCAGATGGTTGTTTGTGTGAATATATACCTTGGGGTGGGACAGACAACCACATGCATGTGCTCTTGCATGCCGGATACCTTCCCCCAATGCCAATGGACCCTCAGGTGGCCTTCTCCCTGCGAACACTTGATCTCCTCCACTCACTTTTCCAGGTGGCATCAAATTTTGGTATCCAGAGCTTTTCTCAATTGCTCACTGATATGCACAAGGTATACACATCTTTCGTTATTTCATTCTCATTCGCTCATGTAGAACATTAGACTGTATTCCAGCATCATCTGAAAATGCAACTTTCACTCGCATTTGACGTGTATTACTGCATCTTGTCTCAACTGCATGGGTTGGTCCAGCTGTCATATCCATCCCTGGCCATCAACTTCCGATCCCTCTGATTCCTCTGGTCTACTTCCGCTCCTTCCTCACTAACCTCGGAGCTCCTGTATTCCGCAATCCCCTCAGTACCCCTCGATGGTCACCACCCCCTCCTTTCAATTTATTACCTATGCCTCCCTAAGTACAGAGCCCCGAAGGCTTCCGGAGAGCTCCGATGTCCGCTATCGCACTCCTGCCTCTGCTGGACAATACACTCGCTTGCCCTGCAAAGCCCACCTTCAGGCCTATCCCTCCTTTCCATTTCTGGGTTATCACCTGCCTTTCCGCTAACCCCATAACCCGACTCGTTGGTAATATTCAATTGACTAATGTCTAAACCCCGTTAGCTCTGCTCCGCCATTTGCGGACCTGCCCTCACTGTAACTATATATACTTAACTTGTACATAGGTTACACTCCAGTAATAAAATCGACTAGAGTTTACCCTCTTCAGTTCTGGTGGCCAGTTAGTAAGTTAGGGCATGGACGTGTTTACTTGGCACAGCGCTCCTGGCATAAGTCACTGAGGCCGAAGCCCTCCATCACGGAGACACTCCCTCGTCTCGATCAGGTCTCTGACAGTATTTTATTACTCCCTGACTAGTACACATCTTGTATGGCACCAAAAGCCCCTTGCACTCGTTCGCAACTATGCACATTAGTTCCCAACTCTGCCTCACCATCCCCAGAACCCTCACAGCCTGGTCCTAGTCAATTGGCGAGAAACCCAGTTGAGTTTCGAAGCTTTTCTAATCTTGAAACCCCTCTCCCATTGACTCCGATCATGCATCCCATTAGGAATCGATCACCAGTTGCAGATTCCGACTTCAGAGACACCACAGAACAACCCATAGACCCTGTCCACTTCTTTGGACTCGGTTCTGAGGTCCCTGACTTCGTCGACCCTCCTCCTGCTGATCCTCCCATCCCCACTGTCCCAACCACCGATGATGCCGAACCCATCCCCAACATGGCTATTGCACAATTAGCCCAAGCCATTGCCAGCTTGGCTCGTC